CGTGTTACATTAGTAACAGTTGAAATCCGTAGCAGGGGAAGGACAAGGTGTCATGTCATACTAACTGCAGCCAAACTATCACATAGAGGTATGTACCTTGTGTCTAAACAATCTGTTCAACCTAGACCAATCACCTACCACTATTAAATTAATAGAGCACTCTATATTGTGTACATTGTGTCTTTGCAATCTGTTTAACCTAGACCAATCACCTACCACTATTACATTAATAAAGCACTCTACAGTGTGTATTGTGTCCATTGTGTCTTAACAATCTGTTCAACCTAGACCAATCACCTACCGATTTTAAACTGGCGTTTGACTCTGTCTCTGTATTTCTGTTTGTACTTCGTTTGCACGTCGTTGTATTCCGTCATCACCTCCACGAACTTTCTCGATAACGTTGAATGCTGCAATCAATGGGGAGAGAACGAGAGAGGCAGACGATGTAAAAGCTGGGAAAATAAACCCTAAACCCTAACCTTTAACCCCTAAACCCTAAACCAAAATTCCATCACCCGAAAACGGCATTTGAGTATATATTCGAAAAAAGAAGCATGCAGCTCATTGCTTTCCCAAAGTGAAACAGCGACGATAGATACTTCTATGAGGCTATAGGAGCATCTGAGCGACTTTAGCTACATCTGGCTGGCTATAGGTACATCTGAGTGAATTTAGGCACATCTGATTGGCTATAGGTACATCTAAGTGAATATAGGCACATCTGATTGGCTATAGGTACATCTGAGTGAATATAGGCACATCTGGTTCATCTGAGCGATTGAATATATATCTGAGACACTATATGCACGTCTGCGTGGACTCTCCAGACACATTGGCGTTACTGTAGTCTAAGTAACGTACAAGTACCTCTCGTGACAATAACCATGTGTGGCTACAGGCACACAGCTGAGTGCATGCATGAGTCATACCTATTGTTTTATCCCACGTGTGACTATGACGCATGCATGAGTCATACCTGTTGTTTCATCATGCGCGTGTCGGCTGTGCCTGCCTGGTCCTCGGGGATTGCTTTGATTTCTGAGTCCATGAGTTTAAGTTCTTTGCGCACGCGATTGGCCGACCGACTGATTTCTCCCATCACCTGATCCAACTCTTCATTCCTCACTAGACAACACATAAACATAACAGATTAAGCAAGATGCAGATATATGTATGTACTCAGATATTGTGCTACTATTCATAGCATGTGGATGTAACTGTATGTAAAATGTAATGAGTATGCATACCTGCGTAGATTGTACTACTATAAATAGCATGTGTATGTAAGTGTATGTACATGTATGTAAATGTAATGAGTATGCATACTTGCATAGATTGTACTACTATAATATGTGTATTTAAGCGTATTTAAGTGTATGTACTATATGACAAATGTACAGAGTATACATACAAAGAGTGTAACATGCTCATATGACTTGACTTACTTTGTCCCTGTTTTTCACTGATGGCGGCTAATGCCTGCCCATGCTTCTCGGCGATGTTTTCTATATTCCTTTCTACAGTGGCAATCTCATCACGGATGAGATCTACTTTTTTGTGAAACTGTCCGATACGCAAACCAAAAAAAAAGCGGGGTGAGTATATATGTAGACACTGCACTGCCAGATACAGATACATAGAAAACTTGCAGGGAAAGACAAGCAGAGTACGACAGTACAATACTGGATGGGAAGTCATACTGGATGCTGACAAATGAGGCACGTATTATGACAGGCACGGACAGAGAATAGAAGACACATGACTGCACAAGTAAACCAGTACGTTCAAGCCTATAGACAGATATGAACAGTCTCGCCCAAGGGTTATATGTAGGATGGATATTGTTGTCCATGACCATTTGCAAAAGAATATCCATGCGTGCCTTGGTTGGAAAGGATGCTGTTGTCAATGGCTATGTGAAACAATATCCATAATATGTACCTCCAGATCTAGAAAAACGTGAACTTGATC